AGCCGAGCCATAAAGCACTTTGGCTCGGCTCGGCTCAGTTCACGGCTTGTGAACAGTAGAGGCAAAGTGCCGAGCCGAGCCATAAAGCCATATGGCATGACTCGGCTATAAACAAAATTAGCCAAATAAAAAAAAAAAAAAAATTGTCGAGTCAAGCTCAGCCATAAAGCTGTTTGGCTCAGCTCGGCTCGGTTAGAAGCTTGTGAACAGTAGAGGCAAAGTGCATCTTTTATATTTAGTTAGATTAAGAAAATGGTATCAACCAAACCACACCCACACTACTCCTGCCCTCCTGACTACCATAATGAAGAAAAAGTACATGAGCAACCCATGACTACACAACAATAATGATTCACCCTGCTATTACACTCATCAGGTAATTGAGAAGCAAAACTGAACATGAGAATGCAGAATGCATTATCAGCAGCAATGAGCATCTGAATTATGCTTTTTCCAAAACAAATTAACTCTGATGATTATCTTATGAATTCTATTCCAGACAATGTTTCATATCTCAATCTACAAACGGAAAGAAAATGTGAGGAATTTCTTCAAGAGTCACTTTGCTTAAGTTCCAAGCCAATTGTCATCGTCACCATGGCCTTGAGTCGAACCATTAGATAGTGAAGTTCATTTTTCAAGGATAAGCAATTAGAGAAGTTCACTTCTCATCATGCATTGACACCATTGTTTATACTGATGCCTCAAAATATAATCATACTCTCTTGTTAGAAGCAAGCCTCCTTGGGTAAATTACTTCTTTCCACATCACTTTACGGTTGTGTAGCAAGTGGAACTTGCATCTGCCATTCATTCCTTCTAAGATGATATTTTAAACTGATGTTGCAGGTTGGAATATTGTTAGTTTTTGCTGAAACATGCCAACATTGTAGGTGACACATTGTGCCCTTTGGGTTTGCCACTTGTAATTGTATAATCAGTTTGGCTTCCTAAATTTTTAACTAATCCAGAGTAACATGAGAGTTCATTTTTCCTCATGCTGAGTTTCACAAAATAATCTTTTGTGTGACTATAATAATTTACGGAAAGGGGCCTTGATCTTTGTACACAATACTATTTTGACCTGAAAAGTAACTTGTTGGACTGAGGATAATCCCAAGATCCGTGTGCACGGAAATTTCTGAACAAATCAAATAGATTCTCTATTTCAAAAGCGTGTAGATGTACAGCAGCATGATGAATCTAAGAACAAGGTTATGAAATAAAGACCACAAGAGGTACCTGTAGTTTGGCTAAACGAGATTGCATTGAGCCAACAAATTGTTCATGCTGTTCCATCAGGTCAGCAATAACATTCTCCTCACTAGCTGAAACTGACTCATTTTCGCCTGTTGAAGGATAGCCTCTCTGTCATTGTAGACATGAAGATAAAACACATGAATGATTCATAACATGGAGAGTAAGGTAGAGAAAGTGCTAATACTTACTAAATTATATTACACGAGACAGAATTTAAATACTGAAAAATTAAGAAATATTATTAGGGTGACTTGAAATGGCCTTGACAAACTCTTAAAGCAATTATCACAGAACAGAAGGGTCAAGATACAATGTAAGTATACATTTGAACATAAAGTCAGCTTACACATCTGCCACCCACATAAATGCATATTTTCGTTAAATGTATGGTATCGGCTAAAATTTTGCATTGAAATAACTGCATAATTGGGGTTAAAAGCATAAACTTATGATACTAAAAAAAGAGAAAAAGGAAATCGCAAAGCATTATGGAGAATTACAATTTCATAAATAATGTGTTAATAAACTTTTTTTTTTTAAAAGCAAAATTGCCAATCAGCTCCCCAGTAAAATTCAAGAAAAAATGATCTCCGTTAAATCTGGTCAGGAAGGTGCAAAAGTCAAGCACCAAGCCACAAAAGACTAAGCAAAATCTCTCATTCCTCCTTTCAACAATGACTACAGAATACAGATAGTATTCATCTGCTTACCCCCAGTCCAATTTCTATTTTTTTTCTTTTCCTTATAAATTTCTCGTCCCCTTTCTCTCCTGCAGATTTTACGCATTAGACATGCAAAAAATACTTCAGCTTCTTCCTCCCTACCCCCAATATGTTGCAGCTGTATACGTGGTCATGTCTTGAAAAGTCCACATTTGGACTTAGAGACATCTAGAATTGAAGGTAAAAAAGAATAAAACATCATTTGTCAAATTAATCATATAAGCATAATTAAAGTAGGCACTTGAATGAACTACTCGTTACTTTACCAGCCACATTAGAAATACTATTATGAAAATAGAAGAGAATAAAACCCAAAATCAATGTTACAAAGTAAGAGTTTACTTACAGAAGGTAAGTTTCGAGAGAGTGTGCTTGAAGCAAGAACTGCATGGTTAGATATTCTGTCTTTCTTCTCCCAATTTGCAGCAAGTCGTGTTCTACCTAAATTTGGTTCAGAACAAATAGCCGTGTTCATCATTAAGAAAAGGATCATTAATTGCTTGCTAAAGCGTCTATTAGAAAAGATAGTTATACCTCCTCTTTTACTTTCCATGAGACTGGTATCCCCGTGCATGTTGTTCCCACGAAATTCATCTGCAACCAAAAAGATAACTGATTAACAAAACAAATAAAGCAAACAATTTATATTCAAAGATATAGGTAGATTAACAATAAAAAAAAAAACTCAATGACAAACAGTTAATAATACAGCATGAACAGGTAACAAAGAGAGAGACAATTAGTTGGACATAATCGACATTAGTATTAGCGACCAAATCCAAAAAAAACTCATTGATTCCAACAAGAAATCCCATGTACTTGGACCTGTGCCGAATAAGGCCTCATTGTAGCTTAGATGGTCCATAATAAAAACAGTTTCATAATGAACCTCGACGAGGCTTTATGTGGCACCATCACCACTGCACTTAACAAGATGTAGCACATAATCATAAAGTGATTGGAAGGACAACGCTGGATAAGACAAGATGTAGCACATATTCATAACGTGGGTCGCACGAGGAGAAGGGCGTGCTGAAAAGGAATACGTACAACTTTCACGCTGGCAAGTGGCAAGAACATCGACCGATGCATTTATTTCACCTTCTCCATAAAGCATACACTTATCATCCTTGGCATTTCTATCAGTTGCAGGAACCCCAATATTTGAGCTCCTAACTTCAGCAAAGGTACTCCTATCTGAAACCTCACTAGAATCAATAGCCCTTGGGTCCTCACTTTCAGACAATGAAGAAATAGTAGGCCTCTCGAAGTCATCTCTCACAGATGAAAATTTTCGAACATCGGATGTTTTTGACTGCATAGATAGTGGCAGTGTTCTTAGTGGAGCTCCTTCTTTTCTTTGTTCAGCAGCCTGCTCTATTCTCGGATTATTTCTAGGCACAACCACAGGAATAACTTCTGATCTATTGAACACTGAAATATTGGGTGTTGACTGGACCTTTACAGGATGCCTCTTGGGGGCTGTCACATTGGAAACTGCCATTGGATTGATTTGAGTGGTTCTTGGAACAACACTGAGATTTCCCCTTTGTGGAGTTGCAGGGACACTTACAGCAGCTTCATGCAGTACATACAACAACGTTAATACATCTTAAGAACCAAATTAAGTAGAGAAGGAAATGGACTAACAAAAGGATAAAATACTCAAATAATGTTGTTAAAAAAGTCTGAAAAAGAATATATATAATCTGAAAAAGAGGTTACTAAATTAACCACAAATCCTAATAAACAAGGAGACATCGTAAAGAATTACGTGCAAGAGATTTAGAGTCCCTATTCAGATCCGAATTCCGTGAGACCGAAAGCCTTGCAAGAGGTCTAGTTTCCTTCGCAGTATCAGAATTTTGTGAAATGGAAAGCCTGCCCAAGTTGCCCTTAATGGTGTTCTCAGTAAGTATTGTTGAACCACCAGAATTAGATTTACGCTCTAAGTTGGCATTCAAATGAGCAGCACTACCAATTTCATATGGTTCAATACGCTGCCAAAATCATATGGTCACAAAATAATCATCAATTCAAATATCAAATGAGAAGAAGATTAAGAGAAGTAGACAATATTTACTGAAAAAGAATAATTTATACCGAGATGTCTACAACCCATACTCCAACACAACTTTGGTTAAACGAACATCCAAGAAGCTTCCCTTCATGAACATTGAGATCTGATAATCTAGACCACCCCACATCTACAGTATCATGACATCTAATTGGTTCCCATGAAAAGACCTATGACACACAAAGTAGTAGAGAAAGAGTGAGACGAATGACAATACATCAATATATTATTTCCTCATAAACATAAAGCTATAGGTCACACAAAGTAGGAGAGAAAGAGTGAGACAAATGACAATACATCAATATGTTATTTCCTAATAAACATAAAGCTACAAGTCACACAAAGTAGTAGAGAAAGAGTGAGACAAATGACAATACATCAATATATTATTTCCTAATAAACATAAAGCATACAAAAGCATACTTTCAAATTCTCATGCAAGCCACAAAGAAGGGTTCTCCCGTCTGGATTAAAGGTCATACAACGCACACCTGTGGACTGGTTTGAAAACAAGTAAACAGTAGTTATTTCAAACTCATCGGTTAATTAAGAAGTTTGATCAAACTTTGAAGGCAACGCCAAAAATTTTGGCCCATGATAAGCTATAAAAAGCAAAGATTAGTAGGGAAAGACATCGTTACCTCAGGCCCAGAAGAACCTATTGGTTCAAACGTTTCAAGATCCCAGAACTTAACAGTCCTGTCAGCTGAACCTGCCAAAAGAAAGGCCACTAAATGTTTATTAGGAGATCAGCAAAGGCAACCTTGACTAGATCTAATTGAATGAATACATATATAGCAGAGTAAAGGTCTACAAACTAAATCAAGGCTTAGTTATAAAAGCATCTTTTGCCACAAGATACGGTGGGTGAAAGTTGATTATCTATAGCTTCAAAGGAAGAAAAAAAAGGACAATTGAATAGGCTCAGGAGTGAGTTAAAAACATGAAAACCTCGAGTTTCTGTATATGCATATATTTTCTTGAGTATTAATACAAATATACAATACCATGTCAAATAGTAACTATCTCAGATTTCTATGCGTTAGACTTTCAACCAGAACAGAAAACGAGTTCATAACCCAAACTAAGATTCTGATATGCAAAAACCAGAAGGGTGACAAAATTTTACTTACTGTAGCAGACTTTAAGAACGGTGTTATTATGGTTATGGAAATGAAAATCAATATGTGACTTCATGAGGGAAAACAAATGGATAAGGAAGTGAAAGTTTATATGAAACCATGATGTAGCTTTGAAAATGAATAATATAGAAACTTTCTCCATATCTATTTCCTCCCTTCACAAGTATGGTAGAACCTTTTCAAAAGCTAGAAGTGGTGAGACTCATTTTTTATAATTTGTAGTATCTTCATGTTTAGCATCTTGTTTAGTTCTATCCAATTTTACCTAGAACACATAAAGTCAAAATGCTTAATTGACAATCTTAAGAGACTCAAGAAAGAATTTTAACAACTCTTTATGAAAAATACTCCAACAGTCCAACATAATGGTAAAACAGGTTTAGGAACATTTTACATCCTCCTAGAGCTATTTCTGCACTATTTAATGCAATCAAGAAACCTATGGGTTTGGGACTCTAGGCAGGAGGCGGTAGGTATTAATGCCTTCTCACGTCTTATTCTATCTTCTTACTATCACAGTTTTCATCTTCTGCAGTAAGATACATATTCAACCAGCAGTATCAAGCATTGAAAATCCCATTCAGAAAGGATACACCAGTCCTATATATGGCACAGACCCTGAGTATGGTTTAAAATGCAGTATAATTGATGAGTTCTAAAGAATCAAAAAAGGGAAACTTCCAGATAAGTTGACGAAAATGCATTCTCATGCGTATAAAATTGACAAATTGTTCCACTGCCTTTCAAATAGTGGTTTCAACTTCAACACTTGAAGAATGAAACTTATATATATGGATACAATCTATACTAATAGCAATTGTTTGTTAGAAAAATAGAAAATACTATTGGTTTTTATTAAAATTCTACAATTTCAAAATTACACTTCAGTCTTGTCTTTGCATACTTTTAAATGGAAATGTTTATGATGTTTAGATTGCAATGTTGACACACCTACTAGTAATACTACCATTCAGGACCTTCAACCACCATTGTGATTTATCAAATTTTTAAGTTGAAAAAATAAGCCAGCAATACGACATGTACAGTTGCTGAAGTAGTAAATCAAAGAAATTGGCAGATAGCATACTATTGAGAACATAAGTTTTGCAGATCTATAATACAACGATTATAGTTTTCCAACCTGTTGCCAGCAAAAACTCATGGGGATGGAAATCAATGCATTGAACCTGGCCCTCGTGACTTTTGAACTCATGCAACAGCTTGCCCGCAGTTAAATCCCACAGCTGTCACACAGGAATTTATATTAAGGAACGAAAATACAAGGAACAACAGGGCACAAACTCGTGCAAATCTCCAGCTATGTTTCACAACGGCTGAAATCATAAAAGGCTTCATCCCAGAATTGAAGAAAAAGGGATATAAAAAATAAATTAAGACCTTCCTTCAATAGGTAATTTGCTGAGACTTATGTAGTATGCTAGCAAAAACAAGACATTTGACCATGTGATGATGATTTAAATGTGGAAAAGAGAGTATAAAAAATACATCAAGATGTATAGCAGTGAATGTCTTCCAGTTTCTCTCTCTCCTAGATAAATCAAAGGCGCAAGGATGGGAAAACAGAAAGGAAAAATAACACCAAGAAATTGAAAGATCTGACCTTCACAGTGTTGTCCTCTCCACCAGACACCACCCAGCGGCCATCGGGTGTAAATCTGATGGCATTAACACCCCGTGTATGACCCTTGTATGTATGTATACACCCTTTTCTTCGAATATCCCATATTTTAAGATTTGTGTCCAGAGATCCAGATGCAAAGAACTCCCCAAAGGGATGGAAGTCCAACGATATACAATTGGAGCGGTGACCAGTGAGAGTGCGAATAACTATCAGTCAAACAAAAAGCAAAGTCAACACACAATGATTTTCCTCTGTTTGAAAGGTAGGTTAAAATACAATCCATAATGCATATATAAGTGGGTTACAGAATGCATACTCTTGGCCTCCTCTAAATCCCAAAGCTTAATGGTACCACTCGCTGCTCCAGCAGCTACCAACACCTCAGAAGAATCAAAGCTTACGGAATCAACTCCACTTGAATGACCCGACAAACTCTAGGAAGTGAAACCAATGAGAAAAGATAAGGGGAAAGATGTCATTATCACTAATGCAGTAATGCTTCTATAAATACCATGATGGCCAAGAAAAAGGAAAAAAATAGTTGAATTATATGAAACAAGAAACTATCAGATACAGCAATCCAAAGTTTCAGTATGAAACGAGTCATCCTTCTCTTCAGGTGTAAAAAAGGTGATGCAGGTATTATAAAGGACTTAGATCATCACGGGGTTACCCTACAGCCTGCAAGTAGTCACAGTCCAAGTTTTATAGATAGGGGTTGGGAAGGAGAAGGGTCTGCCCCCTCTTGTGTAGTTTGTAAAACCAAAAAAATTACAGTTTAACATACGAGGGTTGAATCGAGGTATAAGATAATATGAAGGCCCCAAAAAGAAAAGGTAAAGTGAGAATTAAACTAACCAGTACGGCATTGGGCTTGCCAATGGCCCAAAGGTTGACCTTATGATCTTCTCCTCCGGTCACAAGAACCCTCGATGATTTCCTCCCAATCTTTAAGCAGTTAACACTTAAAGAATGAGCTACAAATTCCTCTGAATATACCATTAAGGCTACCAACTAATACTTGAGCTACACAGTTTAACGTATTTTTAGTATATGCAATGTTTCACAGCTGAGGCCAGAAAAACCAGAAGCTGCACATGATTCCCTTGTTTCTCAGTGACTCAAAATTGTGATGCTCTTATTGAAGGGCACCCCTAGCTAATTTTACCAATATTTTGACTTCAAAAGTTTTTTGCTTGTCTACTCAAAACCGTGCAGCCACATTCCAGTTCAATTTATGCGCAGTTGTAAACAGTCATGTTCATGGGCTCTTCGTTAGCCATTTTACAATATCAATTCTTAGTTCTTCCCAAACTTCTATCCAATCAATTTCAAAATCCTAATCACAAAAGCATAAGAAAGAAAACCTCGACAGAATAGGTATTTACTCATTCATAAAATTGATTCCAAAGCACATAAAACCCCAGCTCTTCGACTCAGGCGCACTACATCACATTATCAAGAGAAGTCTTTGGTAATATAAAAAATGTAGTCCAAGCAAAGCAAGAACTGCTTTAACATCAATAATGATACAATTAATAATTGAAAACGGAATAATGTAATCGAGCCCTTAATTTTTTTTCCCTCTAGATCCAATCAAATTCATCGCAGTTTCTTGTCTCGATTAGAGTTTAGCATTTGAAGAAAAAAATAGAATGAAGTACCCAAAAAAAAAAGAGGATACGTAGCTTGTAAGCACGTTTGGTGGTGGTCGTCATTTGCAGGTCTGGACAATCGCCCCCGCT